AGAGAGAGAGAGAGAGAGAGAGAGAGAGAGAGAGAGAGAGAGAGAGAGAGAGAGAGAGAGAGAGAGAGAGAGAGAGAGAGAGAGAGAGATTTGTGACATTGGGATTCAGACTTCACATTTGAGCAGAGCCATTGTGGGTGACCATTGTTGGGATCGGTGTCGATGACACTCCGGGTTGACGACGTCTCCCCTCTTCTTCCCCCTCTTAGTCTCTCCTCCCTCCTCTTCATCCGTGTATGCATTGGATCTGGCGCCCTTGTCTATGTGTACTGGCGCCAGGCCGCTCACACCGTGTGACGATGACGATGATGTTCAGTCTGTGTCATGACATTGATTGGGTCTGATTGTTGGTATTTCAGTCTTCTGCTGTGCTATCATTGCTCCATTTTTGAGAGGTCGGTTCTTGGTTCTGGTCTGCGCCATCTGGCATGTAACAGTGCTATACTGTCAGAAGGCACCCCGAATATGGGATAATGCATGAGACCTCTGGTCCTTGGGAACTTGGCGCACACTTCCTTTGGATCCCCTTTTCCTTCTCTTGGGCAGTAACATGCCTAAGGAGGGGAGGGGAGGGGTTTCGGAAAACAATTCTTTCAAAGACTAAGGTAGTCAGTCCTACAGCAAAGCATGGAAATGCCGCCATCCTTTTCTTCGATTTCGAGAAAGCCTACGATCAGGTGAATTGGAACTTCCTACAGCAAAGCATGGAAAAAATGTGGGTGGGCCCCAACTTCAGAAAATGGGTCAGGATTCTCTATTCACAGGCTCATGGATGGGTCCAGGTCAACGGTCATATATCACAGCCTTACCAAATGTCACGCTCTGTTCGCCAAGGGGACCCTTTAGCAGCCCCGATCTTCCTATTCATCATGGAAGCCATCGCGTCATTTCTGCGAAAGGACCCCTCAATAGAAAGACTGTTAGAGGACAACCAGCACACACCCTACGTCCCCACCACAATCCTCTTCGCCGATGATCTGACAGTCCTGATAAGGACGTCTGACTCCTCCTTCGAAGCACTGACAAGGGCAATGCAAGCATTTCAAATCGCCTCCGAAATGAAAATCAACTGAGCCAAAACTATAGGATGGTGGTTGACAGATCCACAAGTCAACACCCTAAGAAATACACCCGAAGGAATGACTTGGTCTAAAGGCAATGAACCCCTGAGATCCTTGGGAATCCAAGTATCCAAAGTTGGGCCGAATCATTCAATGACCCCAGCAATCATGAGCAAAATGATAGCTAAATTGAACTGCTGGTCCAGAGTCTATACTTCAATCTTCGGGAGAGCCCTAATACTAAACGCCTCCATCTTCTCAATGTTATGGTATGCCTCAACCATTTGGACTCCGATCCAACAGGCGAAATCACAATTGAGGAGAAAGGCAACTGCGTATCTGTGGGCAGGGGACCCATCTAAAACGCATTTAATATCAAAAGTGGCCTGGAAATACGTCACACAGACGAAAGCACAAGGAGGCCTCGGAGTGCTCGACCCAGACATCCAAACAAAAGCGTTGCAAACTAAATGGATCATAAAAATCCTAACAAATAGCAACCTCCCCTGGATCGAGCTGGGACTGCGTAGAATTAACCAACTCTCCAGGGTAAAAACTCCCAGTAATATGCGAGGCCTGTTTTGGATGATGTCAAAATCCTGGACCATGGAAACTTCTAGCAGAAATCTGGAGGCATATGGGCCAGAGGAGAGGCAAACCCGGAACTTTTGGAGGAATCTCTTGATAACCTGGAGGGAAATATTCCGGGCAAAGGTAAGAGAACCTAAGTCCAAAGAAGAAGTGCTCCGCCAACCCATCTTCTGCAATCAATGGATCCTAGGGCCTCGAGGCAAACCGTGGACACTTACGGCAACAGACTACAAGTGGAAGCCATGGGTAAAAAAAGGAATATGGCAAATCAAGCACCTCTGGTCACTTCCAGAAGGAAGATGGAAAACGGTTGGGGAGCTTAGGCAAACGTTGAAGGGATGCCACAACATGCAGGACAACCTCAACAACATCCTAATCTCCATCCCTGACAATTGGTTAACCCTCCTTAAAAGCCCCTTCAAGTGGTCATCTGGGGATTGGCTCACAAACACAAAAAACGATATCCCGAACATGGCTTACCTACTGCGCACAAGCGAAGGACCCGGGAACAACTGGCTTATTTGCGATATGTATGAAATTGAAAGTCCTGGAACCACCACAAGTTTACTAAGCAAGAGCGCAGTAGGGGAGATAGCCCTCCCAGCAAACTTAGTCAGGAAGGTCGGAGTCGTTGAAAACGACAAACGTACAATCTATAGCCCCACAATAGACTTTCAGGACTTAGAATTTGACCCAGCTGAGTGGGCATGGAAACGAAGATTAGGAAGTCTCGCAATAGAAAAGAGAACGAACATCTTGGAGTACACCACCAAACTAGGATATAGAGTATTATAGACTAAGGATGAGATCCCACCCGATAGCACAGATCATTAGTCAAAGATGGGAAACACACCTTAATATACCACAGAGCGAAACTCACGTCAGATCGTGGAATAAACTGTTGGCCATCACCTCAACTAGGATAAGAAGTTTCCAATGGCAACTAGCTTACTTAGCCCTTCCGGTCCAAACAAGAGGCGCAGCACGCAGTCGAGATCACCTCTACAGGAATTATGTGTCATATGCCAGGAGAACGCAGTAGAGAATGTGACCCACTCTCTTAACTTGTCCCAAAGCAAGACAACTGTGGGCAAGAACAGCCGAACTATGGCACTCAATTACTGGCAAGACCTTACCAAGCAAGCCAGTTACCGTGTTCCTAGGATTTCACACTCCCCCCACTTGGCAAAATTTTGAACACTCGCTGTACCAGGTATTGAGACTGGCCACATTATGGTCTATCTGGAAACGCAGATGTCCGGAAACAATCGACAACTCGCAGATGCAGATCCAAGAAGCTTGGGAAGGATCACTGCAACTAATAGAGACAGAATACAGAGGACGTTGGAAAAGAACTCTCAAAAAAATCATGCAAAATATAGAAAATAAAGACAAAATCATCGAGGATTTCAATATAAAACAACTAGGAAATGGGAAAATCGCAACAAGAGAAAAGGATTGTATCAGGTTTGGCCAATGGAGAGGCAGCAGCCGATCCCACCCGCACATCACGGAAACGCCAAGAAGCAGATCTCATCTCACAAGCATAGCTCTGATTAGTACCCCCAACTCCCCAACATATCCCTCACCCCTCACAAACTCCGCATAGCCCGATTCCCCTCATCCATATCGACACTCCAAGCAAATAGCACAGACAGCCTAGTGCAGAATTCCCCAGGAGCCACACGAACCAGGAAGCAAGGCGGCATCAGGATCAACGGAGTTAGGACTGGGCCTCAACTACAACACTGATCAGAAGCGAGCAGCTAGCAAAGCCAAGCGCCCCCCCAGAAAGATAAAATAGCAAGCCCAATATATCAGACGAATAGCAGGACCTAGGGTTTAGGGTTAAGAGAAGGCATGGGGAGAAATAGCTAAGCGACCCACCTCGGACCAACAACCCTGAATCAGAACCACTGTTTAGCACACCACACTCAACCAGCATCCTGAGCTATCCCTTCTAGCCCACAACAGACACCCACAGCTATGACACACAAAAGAAATAACCACTCCCCATTGAGACCAACCCATCAACATACATAAGAACACCAACTAAACACAAACCGTACTAACAGACGTTTTGCCAAACCTCCAGCCCCCACAGACATCTTCTCCTACTAAAGAAACCACTCTACCCCATCTCCATGACAATCCACATAACCCCCTCTCTTCTGTTTCACTGTTCATACAGCTCCCGCCCAATAAACCAACCTTCCCCGAACTCCCTACCCAGACAAGACAACACAAAAGACACCCAACCTTCCAAACCTAAACCCACACACACAAGGTCTCCCCATTCCAGCAACCCACTACCACTTTCACCCTCTTGCAGCCTCCATAACGGCACTACTCTTTAGTATCTACCCAAAGGAGAAATTCAGGGCAAGGGCCACAAACCTCTAGCAGAGGGGGCTAACAAGTAGCCAACAGGCAAGCTAAACTGGATAGGGTTTAGGAGTTTAGCATAAGTGGGATCTGATAAGTCAAGGGCTACAAGCAATCATAGATAGTGGAAATTAGAAAAGAGAGGGTATAGGCCGGGCCACGTTAATCCAAAGAGGAGGGACAAGTCGGCAGTTCTAGTGCTAAATGTCAATCAGGCAGTCAAAGAGCTGAGAGGAACAGGCGAGACGAATCCCATCCAAGCAAGTCCACAGGTAGTATCATCCAAACATTAGAAAGTAGGCTAACTTAGGCAGGGGTGAGGGCTGGTACATCCTTCTGACGAGAAGTAATCAATGCCGGCCCTTGGACTTCCCTACCATAAAGGGGTTGTGCGTGTGTGAGTCTTTCATGTACTTCCTATGACTTGCCGGTGGAATAGGAACCGGGCTGATGCTCCCCAGAATGGAAAAGGAGCCAGAGCCATAAGGTTCTGTTTCTTCAAAAAAAAAAAAAAAATCAGTCAGTCCTATGGGGTGATATGGAGAAGAAAGAGTGAAGAAACCGTTGACTAAACACAGATATCTACACCCGAAGCTTGGGGGAGGCACCATGCAATTGTTTTAATTAGAACGGGTGATATGGAGAAGAATGTGTGAAGAAACCGTTGACTAAACACCAACGTGTACACCCAAAGCTTGGGGGGGGCACCGTCCAATTGCCGGAATTAGAACATCAGGTGGAGTGGGCAAAAGCGTGGAAGGCGATCAACAGAAATAAGGAAGAGCCGGAAAAAATCACAGCAGATTTTTTTGAAAAGAACATGCTTGGAGGTGGAGAGATCGAGAACATAGAAAGGGGCAGAATACAGTTCAGCTCATGGCAGGCACCTTTCTCTCAAGGCTCAAGACTGGTGGAGGCCCCAAGGAGCATAGCACATCCTAGCAGCATTTGTGTGGGCTCCATATAACAGATCACTCCCAGGCAAACAGCCCTCTCTCCAGCGACTACTAAAAAGGGGAGGAAAGAGCCTCAGAGGAGACAGGCACCGGTAAGGCTGAATGTGCCCACACCAGCATGGGAGCAGGGCGGAAGGGGGAAGGGGAACACGATTTCGCGGAGGGGTGACTAAAGGCTTCTTATTAAAGTCAGCACATCTTCAGCAGGCAGTACCAGCAGCACAAAGGACACTTCAAGCACCTTGGTGAGGAAGTAAGTAACACAAGCCATTATGCCGATGACGGCCTGAGAACTCCTACCGTCTTCACCCGACTAGAACGCCCGGTCATTATCGCTGCATCTGAACTGAAAGTTGGGCCAAATGCAGCTATAATTACTGGGCGTTCTATTCGGGTGAAGACGGTAGTTTCTACTTAATTATGTGGCGGCCGGCAACAGCGGGCTGAGAGGGGCTACTCTGACTAATTTTATGTGGCAGCCGGCAGCAGCGGGCTGAGAGGGGCAACTCCGACCAATTTTAAGCATGTTTCTTATGCCGATCTTTAAGGACAAAGGGAAGGGGTTCGCACTGGGTATGGGCTTGACTGATACTATAACCTTGAGAAAGAAACAACCAATGCTGTCCGGGGTCTCCCCGGGCTGTAACGTGGGGAAGTGCTCAGAGTGCGTACATCATGTCTCTATATGACTTGCCTGTGGAAGAGGAACCAAACTGATGATCTCCACAATGGATATGGACTATCATGGAGCTCTTCCCACAAGAACCTGTGTATTTTTTTCCCTATTATAGGCTATTAACAAAAAAGGGAGAAGAAATCATCACCCAAACACAGCCCTGCTGGTAGCGAGAAGGCTGTGTCTGTTGCTCATTTCTATGTTTTCTTTCCTATGTCGGTTGTTCATTTCGAGGAAACAAACTACAATCCCCACTCGCGCAGCAAAACTGCGAGCATACCAAAGTAACCAAACCCTGATATGCCTACATTTCTTCATGTCTGGCTTCCTGCAAGAACAAGTGGCCATTCCGGCAGACCAAAGCACATACAAGGAACCAGCGAGTCCATTTCCACAGGGAATGACAGATGAGATTTCAGTGGATTTGAGTTGATCAGGGAAAATGTAATCCAGAAAGAGAGTGGCAAACGTATGGGAAATGATGTGTGAATGACTCAATGAGGTGATTGAGGAGAGAATGACTCATGTATGGGAATGAGATGGTTGTGAAGGGGTTGGCGAAGGTGTAATTGTTTTGGTAGAAGGTGAGGGAGATATCAGATCATCAACCATGGCCCGTGAGAGAGCTGACAAGAGATAGGGAATCAGGGATGATGTACATTGTACATTGCAAATTTTGCCACTTCTGGATTGCGGCGCTTGACTGGTAGACATATGTTTTGAGGTGTGACATGATTCTCCCTTGTCGGATTGTTCATTTCTGTTCTATGAGTCTGTGAACCAGGTGTGGAGCTCCCCACAAAGTTCACAAACGGAATGCAGCTCTGTGCCAAACCTGCCTCTATCTCATAATAGCTGGATAAACTTCCGATAAATCTCTTTCAGAAACAGCAATACATGAGCGTTGTTATCAACTTACTGTTTAGAAAAGAGATAAATGCTGAAGTGGTAAAGAGTGAGTCTCATTGGATTGTCTGCATCTGATTGTGCCCCCCCTTCCCCTCTTCCTCTCTCTCTCTCCTGTCTCTTATACACATCTAGATGTGTATAAGAGACAGCTGCTCTAAGTGTCGCTGGCCTACCCCCGCTACT